ATGTATTGTTGGATTCTATTGGCCAGTATTTTATTCATGAATTTTGCATCTATGCTCATAAGAGATATTGGTCTATAGTTTCCTATTTTGGTGGTGTCCTTTCCTGGTTTTGGTATCAAGGATATGTTTGCTTCACAGCATGAGTCTGGGAGAATTCCATCTTTCCTATTTCCTGAAATAGTTTATGTAGAATTGGTGACACTCTCTTAGCTTTTTATATTAATGGTCTTCTATAGTAATAGACATTTTGTGTCTAACTTACATCACTCAGTGTAATTTTCTCTATATTTATCATTGTTGTTCAGAGTCTCATGAATTCTCCATTAATCTTTAATATTGCATTACACTCCATTATGTGAATAGTTTCTCTGGCTGTTTGTCTATTGACACCATTTTTGGGTTCCTGATGATTATGAATGGCTTATGTTTGAGAATGAGTTACAAGATGTAAATGGAAGTGAATGTATTACTGTCACTTGGAGTTATTGTTGTTATGTGCCATTGAGTCACTTGCAATTCATATCGATCCAAGTATGATATCTCTGAACTCTGCTCTATCCTGAGCCAGACTCACTGTCTCTGATACGCCTAAATCCATTATCCCAGTTACTGTGTCAATTCATGTCCTCTGTGTCTTCTTCTCCTGTGTTGTCCCTCTACCCTTCTAAGCTTGATGTCCTTCTCTCAGTACTGTTCTCTCCTGGCCATGTGCTCAAAATATGTGAGACAGACCTTCAAAATTCTTGCCTCCAAGGAGCAACTTGGTTTCATCTTCTTCAGGATAGACCTGTTAGTTCTCTTGGCAGTCCATAGTATATTGAATACTCTTATCCAGCACCACAACTCAAAGGCATCAATTCTTCTTCTGTCATCTTTGGTCACTATCCAGCATAGCAAGTAATTATGAAGATCATGGCCTGAATCAGGCATACCTTAGCATCTGGACTAATATTGTTGCTTTTTAGCACTTTTAAGAGACCCCTGACAGCATCCTTACCCAGAGAAATTTGTCTTTTGATTTCTTGACTTCAGGTTCCAAAAGTGTTGGTTTTGGAACCAAGGAAGCTGTATTTGCTAAAAACCTCAATCTTTTTTCCATCCACCATGGTGCTGCTAATTGGCCCAGTGGTGAGAATCTTTGTCTTCTTGATGTCGAGCTTCAATCCATATTGAAGACTACAGTCCTTGACTTTCTGCAGCAAGTGTTTCAGGTTCTCCTCAGTTTCAGCAAGAAAGGCTGTGTCATCTGCATAATGTGGGTTGTTGATGAGTTTACCTCTAATCCTGATGCCACATTCCTCCTCATAAAGCTCAGCCTCCTGGAGGATCTGTTCCACATATAGATTGAAAAGATATGGAGACAGGAGCATACTTGACACACTCCTTTCCTAATTTTGAACCAGTGTTCCCTTATTCTGTCCAATGACTGCCTCCTGATCCAACTATAGGTTTTACATGAGCACAATCAGGTGTTCTGGGATTCCAATTATCCTCAAGGTCAGCCACAATTTGTTGTGACCCACATGGTCAAATGTCTTTGCATAGTCTTTGAAACACAGCTAGATAGTCTTCTGGTGCTCTCTGCTTTCAGCCAAGATCCATCTGACGTTTACAATGATATTGTGTCACAGCCTCTTCTAAACCCTGCTTTTATTTCTGGTAGTTCTCTGTCAATGAACTGTGCTGGTTGATTTTTATTTGTTTGTTCATCTTTCTATAATCCTCAGCTGGGTTTTGCTTTTGCATGATATTAGTGATATTGTTCGATAACACTCTGTTGGGTCATCTTTTTTTGGAATGGCAGTAAATATGGAACTCTTTCTGTCAGTTGTCTGGATAGTTATACTCCAGATTTCTTAGCACAGATTTCTTGATGAGCATGTCCAGGGCAGCATCTGTTTGTTAAAATATGTCAGCTGGTATTCAATCAATTCCGGGGGCTTTGCTTTATGCCAATTCCTTTAGAGCAGCCTGAACTTCCTTCTTCATCACCCTTGCCTCTTGATCATATGTTGTTTTATGAAATTCTTCTGGTCTTAGCCAATTCACTCTCAATTACAGCCATGCTCTTCCATAATGGATTCCTTTCATCCCTTCAAAGGCACCATGCTGCTCTGCTCTCCTCCCCCCACCCCCCCCCCCCACCCCGGCCCGGGCCTGGGAATCGGTACCTCCTCCCCACTCTTCACATCATGAAACTCCACACTTCCGTCTGATCTCAGTACAAACAGGGCTTCCTTGGAGAAGTCATTAGAGATCTAAAATGAAGTCCTGCTAATATTCTCCCTGTGAAATATGACCCATCCTTATAGCTCACATCTCATTTGTGATGATATATTTTTGTACATGTGATCATTTCATTGACGTCTGTCTTCCTCACTAAACTGTGAGCTCAGTGAAAATTAGAACCCATGTGCTCTTGTAAAGTGCAGGGCTTGGGACATAATGAGTATGCCATAAATATTTGTCAAATGAGTGAATGAATTTCCAAAAGAACACCCTTGTTTGATACTAGTTAAAGTCACAGCAATAAAGTCCTGTTTCTCTAGTCTGTGCACTGGGACCTGGGAAAAGTGTGGTCATCTATACAATGGTACTATGATAACTTAAACAGGAGTGCAAGCCAAAGCACTGCATTCTTGTCCTGGATCTGCCGTGCTTGTCCTTGGGCAAGTCATAACTTCTTTAAACTGTGAGTCTCGCCTGCAGATTAGACATCTCATTTTGCCCACAGACTCTCAACAGCTATTTGCTCCACTTTATCTCCACCCCTATTCTTTCTTAAGTCCCAGGTGGAAATGAAGGCCTCCTGCGAAGGTAGGGGAGGACCCGAAACAGAGCCAGCTGTTCTGTGGGAGGGTTAGGAGGAAGGAGACAATGTGGGTATTAAGATTCAAGTTCTACATACAGCTGGATTCTGTTTCTTCAGAGAAACCAGAATTGGAAAATACAGCTTAAATAAATATTTGAGGATATGACAAGATCCTAGTTTCCAGCACAGTTTGTGATGTATGGAGATGTTAACATAACTGAGAAGTATTTAATCCTTCTTTCTTGTTTAGGTGACAAATGGTGTAACTTAGTAATTTTGCTTAGGTATTTTTACTCTCCCGTTTTTGCTTCATTGGGGTGGTACATACCCAGAACAATCTCTATAACTCTCTATAACTTGGTTTCTATCATTTTATTATGTAATTTGAAATGATCTCTCAGTATCTAATTTTAATCCGCTACTAGACACTTTCCATGTGTTTTGTTTAACTACTGCCTGGTCAACAGAGGGTTGTGCAAACAGTGAAATTCATGGCTTCTAGCCAAAGGGTTGGCGCTTCGAACCCACCTAAAGTCACCTCTGAAGACAGGCCTAGCAATCTGCTTCTGAAAAGTCCCAGCCTTGAAAACCTCGTGAGGCACCTCTACCCCACACATGGGAGTTCCTCGTGATTCAGATCTGACTCAATAACACTCACAATGACAACAAATGAACAGGAACATTTGGTTGTCCGAGTGGAATGCTTCTTCACAAGAAAGATTTCTGCAGCTTAAGAAGTCACCTTTTCCCTTTTACTGATTATTAGATTCCCAAACTATAATCAGCTGATCATGCCCATTTTAATAACCAAGGAGGAGACTTTTCCTGCCATGCCGATTTGGCAGTGTGATACCTGCAATGGTCTCACTCTGTGTTTATTTCTCTAGCTCAAAAACGGGTGAACACAGAAAGCTGAACATAGAAATTCCATATGACTCAGCTGTTCTCCTGCTAGGAATATACCTTGAGGAAAAGAAAACTTAGACATAGATTGGAGCACTGATGTTCAAAGCAGTGTTATTCACATAGCAATAACATAGAAATAGCCTAAATGTTCATCAGAAAATGACTGGATTGAGAAATTGTGCTACATTCATGTGATGGAATACTATGCAGCAATTAGGAGCAACAATTTTGAAAAATACTATATAACATGGGAGAGGCTAGAAAGCATTACGCTGAGTCAACTAACTCAGGGTCATAAGGACAGACACTATGTAAGACCATTATTGTAAAACCAGAATATTATTGTAAAACTAGAAGAATAACTAGTAATGTGTACATAAATATTCAAAGAGGGAAGGAGAAAGAGCTGGGGGACTGAGGAGTGAGGGGAACATTACGGGGTTGTAGTGGGCAGATGGAGAGGGTAAAGGAATTGGGAAAGATCCAGTGGGGACCTGAAATGATGGTGTAATTATAGGGGGCATAGATCAACTGTGATTAATTTTATAAGACACAATGTATGGGAACAATCACACGAAACAACCTGAACGGGGCCGGGGGGAGGTGGGGAAGGAATTTTAAAAAGAAATGGATGCAGTGGTTCTTATCAGCCTCAGGGTGGTGTCCCAAAGTCACTGAAATGAGATTGGAATAAGAGGAGACTGGCTACTTTTGTAAAACAACAAATCTATGTTTTTAGCTTGTTTGGCAACACTTTTGGAAAAGGATGTTTACAATATAAGTATATGTACTTGATTTGACAATTGCAAACTACACCCCAACCACCCACTTCATAGCATTAAAAAAAAAAATCAGAAGCCTGAAATTGTGTAACATGTAAATCGCTTCTGGACGAGAGCCCAACGTCACTGCACTGTGGTTTGGCAACACAGCATAACATCTCTTATCTCTTGAGGGGATAAAAGAAGAAAAAAAATACTGAGAGTAAAGGTAATGATTAATCTGTAGGGCACAAAAAGCTCATTTGGGGGATTTCAGGCTCAAACTCTCAAATTCAAACAAACAGCAGCAATACAAGGAATGACAGTTGCACCAGAAGACGATTAAGTCACAACCTTTCATTGTGACTTAATTGGAACAGTGCTTCTACCTAGATACTTAGAACATCTTCAGGAATCCACTAGCAGTGGTCAAAAGAACCATTTCCATGTGTGAGCACAGTTGAGGACCAGAGTCTCAGATACTGGTGGGGAAAGCACTCAAAGGACAGAGAAGCCTCAAGATGCAGCCTCAGAAGGGACAGAAGAGGAAGAGCCTCAAGCAGAAACTCACCTTAAAGAGCAGCCTTGCTAAGGAAAGTCTCTCGGAGTTCTTGGGCACATTTGTAATGGTGGTAAGTAGACCCTGGGTTTTTGAATGCTGACTGAATAAACCCTTCCTTCCCTGTCTGCCTCCTGGGGGAGAGACTTCTGTTTTGATTTGTTTTAAAGTTAAGTATTAGATCTGTGTCTTTCAGAAAAAAAAACAAAACACCAACAACCCGAAATGGGCTTCAAGGCTGTTTGGCTCTTTGGTGGTCACAATGTGATGCGTTCATGTGTTTATTTCATTTATCGACTTAAGTTTAGGGGAGAGTTTAGGGAAGGGGAGTTGAGTACTGCCTTCATCTTGAGGATTTACTCAGACTCTGAAATGGCTTTCGTGTTTTAAAAGTCAATCAGTGGAAAATTTGTATTCACTAACTGATATATAACCTGCCCGCTCCCCAGGAGCTACTGATATTCTTGCCATAAATATGGATGGCAAGAAACATCCCATTGTTACTAGTGCTTGCCAAAGATTGTGCTATCAGAGCACTTGACTTTTAATAAATTGGAAATTGTACCCAGTAGAAATAGCATATACTACGCAAGAGTCCTGTTTGGTTTTTTATGCCCCCTCCCCAAGTAATTTATGTTAATCTCCAAAGATCTTTAACAAGACAGTTTAAGAACTTTCTAGGTTTAAATGAAGGACTGTTACGAAAATCCTCTTGAGGATTTTCTCAGCTATTAACAAGAGACTGCGTAGTTCTTTGTTGGCAAAAGCTTTCACCTTCTACATAGTTCAACATTCTCTGGATCCTGAATTCTTAGCTGGAGCCAGACCATTTGTGAATACCAAGTTATATGTTTAATTATTATCAAGTATAGCAATTATAGGTTTTAACTTATTTTAAAATAAAGAAAACCTACTCAAATAATTTCATTTTCTTAAAGTTGGCATAAACCATCCATATACTTTGTATATTGAAAGTTCAACTGAGTAAATGCCTAAAAGTTTAGAAGAATGTGCTGTATGCTTAAGATGTATCATCTAAGCCAAGAATGACAGAGCAATGGGAACTCGTAAACTGAAGCAATCTAAGATGAAGAGTAATTGTCTAGTCTCTGACAACCTCCTTTACTCCTGATTCATTTAAGCATTCTCAAGAATTGTGGGCAGTTCCTTTTCCTTCTCACCTTCATCTGTTAATGAGCCCTCGAGACTCTGACTGTCTTTACCCACAGACTCTAGATGGGGAGAGGGGAAAAGGAAAGAGAGAATGTAAAAGCCAGGGATTTTTCTAACTCTATCCATTGCTTACCAGCGAAGCATCCTGAATATAGAGGCCTATCTGTCGTCCCCAAAGAGGAGTGTGGCTGTCACCACAGACTGTTTTGAGCCATGTAATAACCTGAGCGACTACTGAAAACTGAAGGAAATTCAGTTGTCATTCATAGTGCTTTGCAGAAACAAATAGGAGGAAGTGAACTAAACATCCTTTCGCAACCTAAAAAAGTTAAACATCTTTTTATTTCTTAACAATTGCCTGCTTCATAACTACACCCCTTGTGAGTTGAAAAGGTGAAATTTGTTTTCAGCCATTCACTACTTACCCAACTGATAATTATGTCGTGCCTCTGATATTAAAGAAATAGTGTTAATTATTGTATGTTGAAAATTCAGACTTTGTCTTTCTTGACTAAAGCTATTTCCTAAAAGAGTTCATTTCTATTTATACAGCATATTTGTTTTCTAAAGCAAGCCCTGATGAAATCTATAGTTGTAATTGTAGTCTTAGATTTTTGTTGAGGCTTGTGTGAACTTCTTGTAAACAAGAAGTTCCTGCCCAAGAAAAATATATTTTCCTCAATAGCTCTCTATATAGTTTGTTAAAAAAGGATCCAAACTAACATTTTACTTTCTTGGAAAAAGTACTTATTGCCTTGCCTTCTAGTACCACGTTTTGCCTAGTGATAAGGGTACTGTGGTGGTGTAGTCTGTAGGGTCTTGTGCTGCTAACACAAAGGTGGTGCCTCTCTGGTGGTTCAAATCCACCAGCAACTCCATGGGAGAAAGATAGGCAGTCTCCTCTCATGTGGCCCATAACCTCCCAAACATCTGCTGGAGGGTTAGCTTATGCCAATTCTGACTGATCGTAATGAGAATTGAGAAAACAAGGATTGAAGATCAAGGGAGAAGCTGTGTTAAAAAGATGACAGAATATACTCATCAGTCTTACAGATTCAGGAAACTGGTTTCACCTTTATTTCCTGTGAATCCAGTGTTTAGAATATATGTAGGGTCATCCATGGTGGGACTAAAACACACTAGGAAGAAAGACCTGGAGAACAATTTACAAAATTTAAATAATGAAAACATTATAGATCACAACATAGCATTGTTGTGCTTGCTTTGGACATGTTGTCAGGAAGGATCAATCATTAGAGGAAGTACACTGTGCTTGATGAAGTAGAGAGAGGACCAGCAAGGGGGAGGGAAACCCTCAGGATTGGGACAATTGCTGCAACAATGGACTTGAATATATTCGTGATCATGAGGATAACTCGGGATCCAACAGTGTTTGTTCTTTGCCTGAAAGGTCACCATTTCATCCATCCATTGTTGTTGTTGTTATGTGCCTTCGAGTTGCCTGCGACTATCTATGTACAACAACCCTAAACCCTGCTCTATCATGTGCCAATCTCACTGTCTCTGACACACCTAGTCCCATTACCCCAGTCACTGAATCAATTAATCTCATCAAAAGTCTTCCTCTCCTGTGCTGTCTGTCCCTCCACCTTCCAAAGCATGATGTCCCTCTCCAAATTATGTCAGACAAAGCTTCAGAATCCTTGCCTCCAAGGATCCTCTCCTGGATGAATCTCTCTGTTCTCTTAACAATCCATGGTATATTCAATACTCTTCTCCAATATCACAGCTCAAAGGCATCAATTCTCCTTCTTTCATCCCAAGTCATTCATTGTCCAGCTCTGTGATGCATAGCAGGTGGTTGCGAAGACCAAGGCATTTATCACTCATAAAAAGTTGGAGAAATAAGGACTTCAAGAGATAAATGAGCAAAACCCGTGAAAGCATAGAATTGGGATTCTTTCTGATTCTAGAGCTCGTATTCTCTACAGTTTCCTACTCTTTGCCAGAATCTCTTTGGCCATGCCCTTGAGAGATGGTTTATCAGACCCTTCTGCTTCAGCATTTCTGAAGGGTGAGACGTTGGCTTTCTTCTACTGTGTTCACTCGCCAGTATAACTGCTGGGTATGTTGGACCACTAGGTACACAAAAGAGGAAGAATGTCTTCACTTTCTCGAGTCTGATGAAGATCAATTTCATTGTGGTGACAGGTGTGAGGTGAAAGGTGGTGACCGTTCAGCCTGTGCACCTGAGTTCAAGGCCTCAGAATTTTAACTGGAGAAGCTGCTTTTGCACAAAGACTGTCACCAAAATGAGACAGTCCACTTCCTGTCTGTCCTGCAGGAAATCTCAACTGCACTGTCATCCTGGACAATGGATTTGATCTTCTTGAGTCTCCATTTCCTCCAAATGAGATAACAAAGAATTCATAGCATTTTTGTAACCATTAAATACATTTCATTGTTGTTATGTGACATTGAGTGGCTTGCAACTCTTAGTGACCCATTTTACAATGGCCCTAAGCCCTGCTCTATCCTGTGCCAGTCACACTGCCTCTGACACACCCATCCCGATTACCCCAGTCACTGAATCAATCCACCTCATAGAGAGCCTTCCCCTCCTGCCCTGTCCCTCCACCCTCCCAAGCATGATGTCCCTCTCCAAGGACCAATCCCTCCTTACAACATGTCCAGAATATGTCAGACGAAGCCCCAGAATCCTTGCCTCCAAGGAGCCGTCCGGTTTAACCCTCTCTAGGATGAATCTGTTTGTTTTCTTAGCAGTCACTCAATACTATTCTCCATTACCACAGCTCAAAGACATCAATTCTCCTGCTGTCCTACCTAGTCATTGTTCAACTCTCTGATGAATAACAGGTGATTGCAAAGACCATGGCCTGTATTAGATGCATCGTAGTCTCCAGAGTGACACCATTGCTCTTCAGTACTTTGGAGAGGTCCCTAACAGCAGATTTTCCCATGGCAATACGCCTTCTAATTTCCTGGCTACTGGTGCCGAGAGTGTTGACTGTGGAGCCAAGCAAACTAAAGCTGTGAACAATCTCAATCTCTTCACCATCCATCCTGATACTGCCAATTGGTCCAGTGGTGAGAATCTTTATCTTCTTGACATTGAGCCTCAATCCATATTGTAGGCTGTAGTCCTTGACCCTCTGCAGCAGGTGCTTCAGGTCCTTCTCAGTTTCAGCAAGCAAGGTTGTGTCATTCACATAACGCAGGTTGTTGATAAATCATCCACCAATCTTGACCCCACATTGCTCCTCATAGAGCCCAGCCTCCTGGATAATCTGTTCTGCATATAGGTTGAAAAGGTATGGAGATAGGACGCATCCCTGGCATACACCCTTCCTAATTTTGAACCATGCAGTGTTCCCTTGCTTGGTTCTGACGACTGCCTCCTGGTCCAAGTATAGGTTTCACATTAGAATGATCAAGTGTTCTGGGATTCCCATTCTTCTCAGAGTTAGCCACAGTTTGTTGTGATCCACACAGTCAAATGCCTTTGCATAGTGAATGAAACACAGATAGACATTCCTTTGGTAGTCTTTGCTTTCAGCTAAGATCCATCTAACATCAGCTAGGGATGATTTTTCATGAGTGTTTGTTTGATACAAAGCTCATCTTAGTGGAGGTGAGAAAAATTACCCAGGAAGCGACCATACAGGTCCTAATAATGGGATCATCCAGGGTTGGTCCTACTAGTAGAATCATCTACTTATGTTATGGGGGAAACTCTGTATTCCTTTCTCACTCTGTTGAACGTCCTCATTTGAGATCTACCTTTTGACATCTGTAAAAATGAAAAATGTAAATACTTCTAATAAGAGTTAATACCCTTGATCTGTGGCCTGAAAGAGAAACAGAAAAAGAGCTGAGGCTCTACCAGGGATAGCAGAGTAGGCTATGCAGAAAGAAGGA